AAAAAAAAAACGTCAGGTTTCCATGTAAAATACATCCTCTACCTTTACCAAAATGTAGCTAATAACTGATACAATGATACTGTATAAGGAAAATCTAGACACCCAGTGTTCAATTTGAGTAGAATATTTTGGTAACCATGGAAACGTGATTTTAGCTGTGTATTTAAACCCGGTAAATTTTAAAAGTTACTCCAAAATTGCTTGAAAAAAAAAAAAAAATGCTTTTAATTTATTTGCAAAAAATAAAATTAGGGGTTTTAGCTTCTATTTTTGAAACATGGTTGAACTGTGTAGCGAAAATAACCATATTTTAAATCAATTAATTTATAATATTAATGCTCTGTAAATTTACATTGAGCACTATTTTGTAAAAATAAAATATCTATAAGAACACCGGATTTTATATCTTACTGTTCTTTCTTTTTATTTATATACATATATATATATATATATATATATATATATATATATATATCAATTAGATCTCATTTAAATATTCATGGAGACCTACCGGACACTATTCGTAACATACTTGTTGACGACACTAGTATAATACTTCCTGCATTTTAAAAAGACAACTGCTATTAAAAAATTATTTGATTATTTTTTTAAAGAAAGAGCTAGATTTTCTGTTCATTTTGTTTTTTAAAAAATAACCCCCCAAATGGTGGACTATATTCACACGATACTGTTGTAGACGATTTGTGAAGTTTTTCATCACCCGGAAGAGGCCTTCTTTCAGGTGGCATTCTTTAAGAGGCCTTGACATTTTCAACCCATAACAATATTAATAATCTACCCAGAACAGCATAATTCCGAAGTAACATGAAATGAGCACGAAAACATCTTTCTGCTACAATTACGGATTCATCAGTCAAAAAAAAAAAAAAACAAAAAAAAACAAAAAAAATAAAATCACATTGTGCAGCGGACAAAGCCATGATGGTATGTGAAAAGAAAATTCTAAGACATTAGTTAGATGAAGACGCTATTGCCACTTGACTGGGACGCCTCGGCGTGGTGTAATGGTTAGCAAGCTTTCGCTATAACAATTACGACTGAGTAGTGAGTACGATCCTCACTGGGTGCCCCATACTTTCGGCCTTATGCCACATCTTAGCTAGGCTTGGAAAATCATGATTGCCATATGAAGAAGTCCATTGGTGCCACAAAGGTGAAAGTTTAAAATCTGTGAGTTATTTCTACTGAAACTGTAATGAACAATGATTATTATTGAATTATGAGTTCGATTCTCATTGGGGACTTTGTAATAATTTCCTTGATCTCTTCCTAAGCTTTCTTTAATTCCTTTTACCTTTCTCTCTTCCCTTTTTAACTATGACTTTAATTTCTTTTTCTTTTCTCTCCTCTTTCTCTTTCATAACATTTATCTCACTCTCTCTCTCTCTCTCTCTCTCTAATTTCTTCCTCTTTCCCCTTTCTTTCTTCCTTTGTCTCTCACTTTTAAATACCTTTTTACTTTCTCGGTCCTTTCTCACTCGTTTCTTATTCTTTTTCATTATTCCTTTCTTTCTTTCTTTCTTTCTTTCTTTCTTTCTTCTTATTCCATTTCTCTATCTCTCTCTCTTACTCCTTTTCTTTTTTCACTCTTTGTCTCTTTTCTTTCGTATAAAGAGTTAATTCGAATTTCCCGGAAGATTGCTGAATATTCAAAGAATGACGTTAAATACAACTAAAACATTGCAACTAAAACTACCAAGATGTGGATACTAGTCTAAACAGATGCATGTACAATAATAATAATTCCTTCTGTTCGCTTTGTAGAATATTTATCCACTTGAATCTAAAATCCAGGTAGGTAAAGATTTGATAAAGCGAACACTGAACATCGTTGGGCGCCTATATTCCGCCTCAAATATTTAACGCGTTTAGCTATCGGACAACGGCTCGAGAAATTGCGTTACTGATGGAAGTCATCGTCTCTCTGATGACAATATATCAACCTCTGACCACAATTATGTTCTCATTGCAAATTGCCACCTCTCAACACAATCAGATTTATAGTCTAATCATTTCTCTTATAACATCATTAATCGATCCGACCTATTCTACAACAAGCCGACCCGTCTTCTGGCCCTCGCTTTGTTGATGTGATCGGAGCCGGCCGACCGGCTTACATGGCCTTCTACTCAGCCCCCAGCATACCTGTCGAAGCCTCTATCGCAGAGTCTCGTTTTCTCTTTCTTTATCTTTATTCAGACATATATGCACTAATCAAGCATTTGCTTGGGCCCCTGCTTCAACCCCACAACCGATTGGACATACGAGAATATGACTGTTCCCCCCGACGTTCCATCAATACATTTCTTAATTAGTGTTCATACAAATTAGCGGGTGATCAAATTGTTGGAATCAACATTGAGGCCTCATCACGATTTTACGGATTAATCTCTTTCTTCATTTAGTTTGACGACGAATACGTCAGGATCTATGGCAATGGGACTGGTAATGGGAACATTAGCTGTTGCTTTAGTAGAAAACATTCGTTGATTAATTCATTTACTCTTTACGGCTTATCAACCCTTAGCTGGTTAGTTAAAATCAGAAAATATTTTTGGATGGTAAGACGTTATTGGATGATAAGTATTTTTGGAGATATTAATAATGATTTAACCCATAGATGGGGAGAAGAGGTAGATTCATAACTTCACCATGGTTATTTGCACGTAAGTGAATATAAAGAACCCAATTGGAATTGAAAATTGGCTCCTGTTTTCCAACTCCTCGTCTATGTACCAAGAAGGCTGAGCGTTTAGAAATACCAAGTGCTGTAAGCTTGGATGTGTGGGTGGTGTCATGAATAACGATTCGGATTAGTTAATCAGATGGGTTCATTATATCCGTTTATGCGAAAATACCTTTCAGAAATACCTTTCATGAAACCACCTATTCTCCCAGGTTCCGGTTAATTACTAATTATTGTATTACTAACTCATTATTATCTAAAATATATATATATATATATATATATATATATATATATATATATATATATATATATATAATTTATTAAAAATTATAGCATAAACATGTTATAACATATTTATGTTATAATTTTTGAATAAATAACATTTGCTCTACTTTGTATTGAGCACTCTTTTAAGAATAGTCTTGTTGGTTATTGGAATTTAATTCTGTCTACACCAATCCTATACTTGGATATCTATCTATCTATCTCTATATATATAATTTTATTTAATTTATAATAGTGAAAGAATCGTATGAAAATCTAGCAGTGCTAATATTTTTATCATTAATAATAAAAATACATTTGTTTTCCTCATCGTTTTGTACAACCATCAGGTACTGATTTAAAACAATTTTGACTATGACACGCATGAAACTATGACTTGTGGTAAAACAGTGGATATATATATATATATATATATATATATATATATATATATGTGTGTGTGTGTGTGTGTGTGTGTGTGTGTGTGTGTGTATGAAAGTGGAAATTAAGGTCAGGCGCAATCTTTAGGTTTGAAACAGACTGTCACCGCTGGGTTCTGACTGCACTGTCCTATTTTACATTGACAGACGCTCTCCCTCTGATATTGTGCACATTAACCCTTAAATATAGCATGCATTATAACTATATTTTTATGACCGTCATAATCACTGACCACCACGAAACGTTTCATGTGTTTTCGGGCAGTTATGAAGTTTCCGCCAACTGTTTTATTTTGTGAAATGGGCATTTTCTATACCCACGTCCAATTACAGCATGATTCAGACAAGCAGATTGAAAACTGCTTGTCTGAATCATCTTCAAGAAGCGAGTGCAAGATCTAAAAGGTCAACCAATCTAACAGTGATCTCACCTCACAATCCTCACTCTTGCTCCACATGTGGCCTGCTTTGTAAATCAAATCGGGTCTCAAGTGCCACTTAAATTTATCGCACAAAATTTCATAACTGAGTCAATTGATTAAATTGTCAGATCTTCATACGTCGAAACCGACTTGGCGAGAGTCCATTATATATATATATATATATATATATATGTAAAAAAAAAAAAAATAGACGTACCCATAGAAAGTCGACATTTGTATCTTTAAAAGACAAGTGAGTAATAGAATTTGTTTATTAATACAAGTCTACATATGTACATTATACAATTCAAAAAATGATTTAGAATTTTGTTGAGTAACGTTTTATGTTAATTCTTCGTAGCATGCTATAGACTAAATTCTTTAGTAAGTCAAAGTCCTTCGCCATATTTTTCCAGAATTCCTTTAATTCGCGAAAAAGTTCACCTACAATCGTTATCGTTACTAAATCATGAATTATTCTTTCCCTTTCTCAAAGACTAAACACCACTTACAGGAACGTTTCGTTTGAAGCCATTTTTAATCTTTTATCTGAAGTTTTCAGAAAGTTTTAACCGGGTTAATGAGTCAGAATACCGGACTTGTATCCATCGAGTGAACTATAAAAAGTAAATAAAAAGTTAATACTGGATTGGGTAGAAATACCTCCCCCATAATGGTAAGACATTAGCTAAATGAAGACACCATTGTCACTAATCTCTTACCATTACGAGGTATTTCTGGTTGGTATATGTGGGAGGTATTGCTGCCGCGCCTTGTATAAATAAAACATTATGATTAAATGTTAATCGAATTCAAAGAGGTCAAGACTACAGAACTCTTTATTTTTTGTTGGGGTGGCACAGGGAAAGGAAATATAAAACACGTATTAATATAAGTTACTTATTTTTGAAAGATTAACTGAAACCTACGTATAATGTGCTTTATTTTTTTCAATAATTGTGGCTAATCATTTCTCTAGTAAAGTCAATTACACGTGTAAATTGATAGGACATAACTCTGCTAGTGAATTTATACGGTGCCTGAAATATTCTATATATAAAATCTTTATTTATTCCAAACAACAAACGTCCATGTCTTCCTCATTTTAATTGTACAATATACAGGTTGTGTTTGGAAACCCTACCTGCAAAATTATTGGAGAATATAACTGCAAAATTTGGTATAAATACTGAAAGGTTTTCCTTCTCGTTAGAAAAAAAATAACTTCATCGTGACTAAAAATGCCTGACATTAATGAGTGTCACTTGGATAGCATTAAAGTCAGTCTATAACCTTGACGACATTAATCAGGGTAAAACGCATTGGTGCCAAAAATATAATTTATTAAGTTTTATATATTATATATATATATATATATATATATATATATATATATATATATATATATATATTGTGTCACGAATTCTGACGACTGTTTTATTTTTTCATGAAAAAAACTTTTACACACACACACACACACACACACACACACACACACACACACACACACACACACACACACACACACACACACACACACACACACACACACACGGTGGAGTAATAGTAGATAGAGACATGGATTGCGGAATCAGAGAGCCGAGTTCGAATTCCAGTCGAATCCATTACATTCACTTACGTGAATTAAATGGGAAAAGTGTGAATCCTCCTCTTCTGCCTCCAGCTATGGGTAAATAACAGGACAAACTGGGTTCTATAGCCTTGAATGGCAACTGGTCTAGGAGAAGGTGGTCAGTGATTATGACAGTGAAAAAATATAGTTTTAATGTATGTTATATTTAAGGGTTAATGTGCGGAGGGTCGTTTGGGGACCCTGTGGTACAGAGTGCACCAGATCTCTTCAAAAACTACGGATACTTCTGCACAAAACCATCACCACGATAATCAAATCTCATGTGTAGGCGTCGGGATGTCAGTGTCCTAGGAACTGATCTGCTTGACCTTCATGCGTCGAATTCGACGCTAGAGTCGAGTGTGTGTGTGTGTGTGTATATATATATATATATATATTATAACTAATTCACGAAGGCATTGAGTCCTTTGAGAATAGCCGTATGGAGTACAGTGCCTACAAACGTCTGATTCGTAAAGGCGAACAGGGTCCAGCACCGGGTTCACAAATTCACCACGTTAATTGTGACATATGCGGAAATTTGTGCCTATCTTTTGCCGGCTTCAAAAGCCATTTGCGTAAATGTGCAAAAACCTAGAGTGCACCTGAATAATGTCACTGTAAACAAAACTGATTGGGTATGCCAATTCTGTGGCAAAATTTGTCGCAGTTTGGCTGGCCTGAAGAGTCACTTGCGAATACATAGAATTTGAGGGGAGTGGGAGTGGGGGGCGAGGACATGAAATAAAGGAGGTGGTCACGCTCGAAACCGAGAGGACAGACACGATATATATATATATATATATATATATATATATATATATATATATATATATATATATATATATATATGAATGTACAAGAACGAAGAATAAAATTCCAACGTTCAAAGCATGAATTTAAACAGGGCACAATACAAGAGTAGAGCAATAAATATTTGTTATACACTGTAACATTAGAACATGCAAGTTACTACTATAAAATTGTACATTTTGTTTCGACGTTTAATAAAAACATCTCATCAGGTACTTAACACTGATGGTAACCATCATTGTTAACTACCTGATGAGACGTTGCTGTTTATTTATATATATATATATATATATATATATATATATATATATATATATATATATATATAAATCATTTCACCCCAAGCAAGTTGGGAATGCCACAAGTGCACAAGACGTTACAGAGAGTGAAAGTGAGAAAAAAGACAGGGTGTAGCGGGGGGATTGGGGAAAAGATAAAAGATGAATGTGCTTCATGAAGATAGAAGATGTCGATTGACGTTACATTTAATTTTTTGAAGATTGCAGTTATCAGGGAAGCATGTAAACGGAAGGGAGTTCCTCAGGCCGGATATGCGAGAAAAGAATCTGTTGGAGCACAAGTGTTGCGCTGTCAACAGTAAAATGTTGGGACCTAGATGCCAAACTAATAGCAGCCTTACATTCAAGGCAACAGCGAAGAAACGTAGTCGAAGCAATTGCCATGAAAATATTTGTAGAAAAGACAGAGAGAAGCTACGTCGCTTCGATGAGAAAGTTACTGAAATCGAGATGACAAATCAGGATCTATTAAATTGTAGATCCTTCTTTGGATATTTTCAAGTACCTCGAGATGAACAGCAGGAGCACCAGACCAGATATGAAAACACTATTAAATGCAATGGTAGATTTGTAAATGTACATGATGGACTCTGACGAAAAAAAAAAAAACATCTGGCACAACACAATGACTCAACATTCCTTGCAGTAGATACATCTATTGATTCGATGTAGTCATTCTATTTCAAGTCAGTTGATAACGTGAGGCCAAGAAGGCGCAGTATGTTGCGCCCCTGGAGTCTAGCATCAGCCATGCTAGGCAATGATATTTGTAAACCTATTTGTTTAATAAATCCAAGTTATGATGTAATAAGTTCCAGACATGAATATTAAGATGATTTTATTTTTCTTTAACTTTTAACACTCTGCAACTGTTTCTTGAGCGAAAAGTGTATGGTGCCACTTCAGATGATTCACTAAGCAATAGTGTTTTTAAATTTCAGTTGTGTTGTCTTGTCCTGCTATGACAACAAGAAAATAACTGATTAAAATCAAGAACTAAGCCACTGCAGTTTAGACCCTGCCATATATAGTGGAAATGGAAGTAAAATTAATGAATAATGTAGAGTTTTAAAGGTTAAGAAATACGTGTCTTAAAAATCTGATATTTTATCCATTTTCTCATTGTGCTTCGTTTTTTGGCTTATACAATAACAACAATAATGTATATTTCCGTGTATAAGGCAACCTTTAAATCTTAAAAATACCCCTCCCCCCCCAAAAAAAAATAGGGCTTCCTCAAATACAACAGTTACAAAAAGCCGATCTTAAATCCTGTAGTATATCGGCACTGGTAAGTAGGCTAGTATGCTTCCGCCATGGATCGCAGTAGTCTAATAACAGCCTCGATATGGTGACTACCGATGTAAATATTTCTCGTTTAAACAATTCACATTATAATGCTGTACCACTTCTCGATTTCACATGAAAATGTAATATTCAAGAGACAACAATTTTCAAAAGCTCCCCTGAGCAACACGCACAAGTAACAAGTACTGTCAAAAAAAACTTTCTCTATTGATTAGTAGAGGTATGTTTCCATTCGCACCAATCATTATTTCTCAAAGTAGTGTTAAATAACATCATTTAGGATAACATACAATCCATATTTCCAATTAAAATTCATTATCATTGCAGTGTTAAATAAATAGCTTTCTTTTCTGGACAAAGAGTGTGTAAAAACTGTCCAAATTTTTGATAATCCTCCTTGATAATGGCTAAAGGTATAGACGAAAGCGCTCCTCGGAACTATAAAACATTTGGACACTTTTACACACTTTTTGTCCAGAAAAGAAAGCTCTTGTTGGAATAAAAGAAAAATTAAATAAAAATAAATATTTTAAACTATCTACTGTAAACATTTTAAGACATTTGTGCAGTATTCATAATTAATTTTACTAAGGTTTGTTTTCAATTTTAACTTTCAGATGAACACAGTAATTGATGAACACTACAATATTTGTCTTGAAAAAACAACCATAATAAGACTAATAATTTGTTAATTATTTGTTTCCTTTTGCTTTTGTTGTTCGTAATCATCAGGATCTTCAGTCACTTGTGGTCAACCTTTTCTTTTATTCAAATAAATTATGTTCTTTCAACAGCACATTCAATTTATTGAAGCCTATGTAAATGGATTGCAGATTAATTAACATAGTGTAATGGTAATAATAGCTGTTTCCCCACAAGGAAACATTTGGCATTAATTGACCGAGCAGCCAGTAGTATTTTGGGTTGAAATTCATAAAATCTTTCACTTAAAACATTTTCATAGGAAAAGAGGTTTTCAAGTCAAGAAGTTGTTCTCACCCTTTTCAGTATTGATGGACGTTTGATCATTCTATTTAAAGTCGTGGGGAATGCTAATTTCTTGATTATGTGATTATTTTCCAATCAAGTTAAATGTACCATCCATTTTACTTGTTGCTGCTGTTGACATTCCTCAAGTGATGTGGTTTCTGTTAGTTAGTATAGTTCTTTGTGATTCTGTAGCGACAGTCCACAATATATATTTCTGTATCTATCTATTTATACGTGGTGTGCGCCCGCGTATGCGTATTCGTGTGTGTCTGTTCATGTCCATCAAACTGGTTCGTTTTGAAACTTCATATATTTGTGTGCCTGTGTATATATGTCTCTATCTATCTATCTATCTATCTATCTATCTATCTATGTATAAATGAAATTATATGTATGTATGTGTCTTTCTGTCTCACTCTTTTCATTCTCTCTCTCTTTTCCTACATATATATATATATATATATATATATATATATATATATATATATATATATATATATATATATATATATATATGCGTGTGTGTGTATGCTCATATCTATCTGGGATATGTAGGACTTCATATATCTGTATGCCTCTGTATGTGTGTAAGTATGCATGCACTCGTGGAAAACAATACTACAGCTTGATTGTTAAGGATGTCATTGTTCTTCATACCATTTTTCTTGAAGGCATTGTTATTATTATTATTATTATTACTATTATTATTATTACTATTATTATTATTATTATTATTAACAATAAAATAACACAAAATATCGGTTGCGTTCCCTTTCAGTTATTTTTATATGACAAAATAATTTAGATTTCGTTATTTGTTCTTTTGACTTTCATTCACCTGTTCCGTTTATAGTTTCATTTTCTCCCCCTTTTTCCAGTATTTTTTCCTCCATTTTTTTTACTTCCTTTCCGCTCCAAACACACTTTTCCCCACCTTTCTGATATTTCCCGCTGTTTTTCTCCGCGTCTTCTTGTTCCAACACGAGCACTTCAACAGATCCACGACCACCATATTTATTTTTATTTATTTTTTTTTAATAATCGTTCAACCTCCCAGAGGCTTTTTCTTCAGAAATCACGTTTCCTTGTCTCGTAAACCCGCGAGCAGGACACGAACCTGAAACGAGATATTGTTCCAGCATTCGTACCTTTTGATGAAGTGGGAGATTACGGTACATATAGGTATGCGGGATTCGCGTTTATCGCAGAACATGTAGCTATTCATGGTTTCTCAAGATTTTCTTTTTTATCCCCGCTCTTACGTTTTGGCATTTACCATGCGTTGAATTGAAATCTTTTTTAAGAGACCTGGGTGCGGCATGGGAACTTCGGAGTTAGGGAGGCGGTCGGGCAACCAGGTATGAGAGATTGATATTGGCACGGACAAATCTTACAGTTTACTATCTTTTCTTAACAATGAGGGTTTTTTTTTTTTTTTTGCTTTTTTTTTTAATTTTGTTTGTCTGTTCTCTCTCTTATTCCTTTCGGAAATATTATTGGATATTGTTTTTCCTTTAATATAAAATAGAATTGCGACAGAGATCTATGAATTTTTCGATCTGTGAAGTGATATAAAACAGATTTAAAGAGAAACGAAAACTAAACGGATTGATAGATAGATATATAAATAGACATGACCATATCTATCTATCTATCTATCTATCTATCTATCTATAAAAGGCAGGATGTGTGTGTGTGTGTGTGTGTGTGTGTGTGTGTGTGTGTGTGTGTGTGTGTGTGTGTGTGTGTGTGTGTGTGTGTGTGTGTGTGTGTGTTGCATGTCCGCAATTTTCGACAGATTTGCACCAAAATTTACATGCACATACTCCAAGTTAGCGGGAAGACCAAGACCGACTTTCCATTTCCCAACTCCCATCAATAGTGGAAAATAATCGATTTTTTCATGCTTCTACCGCAGTTTTCATGTAGTTTGCGGCCATTTTCTACTGGCCAGAGTGAGATCCTATAGCTGGCTGCCACGAATAGGCAGTAAGATTTTATTGGCCAGCGTGAGAGCCAACAGCTGATTGACACGAATGTTAACTAGCATGCTAGCATGCAAAAAAAAAAATCGATAGCTGCATTCATCACATAGAGATAGGCAAGAAACAAGGTATGTAGCAACATCAGCACGGCAAAGGGCACTCCTTTAAAGGCAAGGAAGGGCAAAAATATTTTAAGTCAAGTGATAGCGATTGCTGTATGAATCGTACGATTTTTTAATCAAGCACGAGCGACGCCGGGCCGTGCTGCTAGTCTATATATATATATATATATATATATATATATATATATATATATATATATATATATATATGGCATGGATTTAACTCGCCAAAAGAGTGAAAAAAATGAAAAAGAGTTCTTAGATTCATTGAAAAAGAATGGAATCAATTATCAAACTTATGCTTTCAGAAACTTTTACAACAAATGCCAAAAAATTGTGCTGCAGTAGTGAAGGCTAAAGGAGGATATTTTGGCGAGAGCAAAATTATATCATAAAATGTTTTTTTTTTCTTTTTGTTATAAAATTTCTAATAAAAAATTATGTCTAACTTTCTTTAAACAACTTTGGGGGACAATTTAAAAAAAAATTACCATGGGTAGAGTCAAATTTTTGAACTGTAGTGCATATATAATCGACTCTCCCGTCGCGTTCGACGTATGAGGGTCAGGCCGATAAGTCCCCAGGAACCGACATCCCGACACCGGCACATGAGATTTGTTTATAGTGGTGAAGGCCTTGTGCAGGACCAGCCACACTTTTTGGAGGGACGAATACAGAAACCTGGTGCACCGAATGCATGCCACAAGGTTCCCAAACGACCCTCCGCAGGTTTTGAATTCAGAGTTGTCCTTCTCCTAGACCAGTTGCCATCCAAGGCTATAGAACCCAGTCTGTCCTGCTATTTTACCCATAGCTGGAGGGAGATGAAGAGGATACATACCTTTCCCATATATATATAAATATATATATATATATATATATATATATATATATAGATAGATAGATAGATAGATAGATAGATAGATAGATATGTAATAAAAATATAGTTTTAAGGTATGGTAAATTTATGGTTAAAAGTGCTCAATATCAGAGACAGAGCGTATGTAGATATAAAGATATGAAAGTGAACACAAAGATGTGTGTGTGTGTGTGTGATATATATATATATATATGATAAAAATATTGTTTTAAAGTATGCTATATTTATAGTATACACTGCTCAATATCAGGGATAGAGCGTATGTAATATAAATGTTAACATTGAGGTCAACATCCAGAGGCGACATCTGTTTCTCTTTAATCGCTAAGCCTGATCGTTTGAAGCATAAAACTGACTGTAGCCGCTGGGTATTGACTTCAACGTCCACATACACACACACTCTTATATATATATATATATATATATATATATATATATATATATATATATATATCTACTGAAATGTTGCCAGCCCAAACATCAGTTATTTTTCTTGGTCGAAAACGACTCCAGACCTCTTCATATAAATTTAAACAATGACACGGGTAATTCTAACTGATGATGACTCTGGTTTCAAGCATGGCCCCAACCCTTCAGTATTATTACTGTTAATATGGATTGCCTCAGCAATACTTTTGTGATACAATCAACCTTTGTTCGTTCTTTCTTCGTCAGGTATATCATGTGGAAGCAGTTGTAGCTTCTGAAACGATCTTGGAGTCTATTTCCCTTGATATCAAATGGTGATCAGGAAAAGATATTCCTGAGACTAAATCGGAATGATAACCTGACATTTGACTACATCTTACATCTTTATAGTCATAGAGTTGTCATTTGCAGTTGTTCTAGTATAAGATATATATATATATATATATATATATATATATATATATATATATATATATATATAATGATCCATTTGCTATGGAGTATGCAGAGAAACCAATGCAATCGCTAACAAAAATCCGTGTAATATGTCCGAAACTGATAGGATTTGCCAATAGCACACACTCTCTCCCTCTCTCTCCCCTCCCTCTCTCCCTCTCCCCACCTACTTCTCCCTCCCTTCCTCCCCGACAAATATATAGACAGGGGGATTGAAACTGATAGGATTTGCCAAATAACACACGCTCTCTCTACCTCTCCCCACCTCTCACTCTTCCTCTCTCTCCCCACTTCTCTCGTCCTCCCTCTATCTCCCTCTCTCTCTCTCTCTCCCTCTCTCCCACAAATATATATATACAGGGTAATTGAAATTGATAGGATTTGCCAATGACACACGCCCTCTCTCTCCCTCCACAAATATATATATACACAGTGATTGAAATTTAAATCCAATAAATAACACAAAATCATGTTTTCATATACTGTTCTTTAGAGAACATCCTCAGCAGACCAAGCATAGAAGTGGTCACATTTTAACGAAGACAAATTTTGCCCCAATGGATGAAACATTTCATTAATATGCCTATATTTCTGAGATGAGGTATTATGTACACTATTTACATTATTCGGACTATTGTCCTCATTTTTGTCGTCATAATTATTATATGGTTTCGGCCGTTGTACTCTCCGGCCTTCTTCAGGTGGTTGGAATGTCGAACTGAACGCTTTATTTCGCTCACTGGGGTAGACTGTTCTAGTTCCACGTGCCACGTTTAATGGATATCAGTTATCAGTTATTTCCTGTTAATTTCCCTCTCCAAGTTTTCCACTGTCTTAACCGGGTATTGAACTCACACTCTTTGGGTCCTGTCACTGGATCTAACTAACGCCTTTATCCACGTCTCCTTGAGGACATCAGTGTATGAATTTCTGGGTATTATAAGCCTAATGTCTTCAGCAACCCTATTTTTTTTACCAGTGCTAATATTGCAATTTTTGCTGATATCACATCATGTTTTTACCAGAACTCATCTTGCAATTTTTGTTGTTATTATCGCTTTGCTCTGGCACTCCTTATTACTGCTTCCCCTATTGTATTCATTTCTATGCTATGAAGAAGGCCGGAGCGTACAACTGCCGAAATTACTTACTTTTCCAGCATTGATAGAGTTCCAAATCGTTTACGTGGTCTTGTGGGTTAGGACTGGTTTAGCACTGTGCCATCCTCTTTCCCGCAAAAACATTTCTGAAAGTCGGTCGCTATTCTATCGCTATTTCCATGGCAAATATTCATTCCCTAGTTCTACCAGCTAGGACATGGCGAGCCACTTCCACAGAGTGAAAACATCCTCATTTTCCCCGTGTGTCAAATGTAAGAAAGTTCCCCTCATCCGCATTTTCACAAGAACTGCCACTTTATTGAATATATTCCCACATATTTTCATTTCTGAACACGTCAATCTCGACCTTATCGTCAGTTTGATTGCTCGATTCGTTCCTGTACGATCACTGAAGTTAAGCAACGTTGAACCTGGTCAGCACCTTGAGTGACCGTTTAGGAATACCAGGTTGTATGTGCGAGTGTTGTAATGGCACGAATTTCCTGTGGGTTCGTTATATTCAGTTATACGCAAATACCAGCTATGGGTTAATTTATAGAACTTGTATCAGCGAATCATTATTATTTTCTAAAAATATTTCTTACAAATCTAAACATGTTTTCTGGATTTAAATAAACTGCATAAGGTTAATAAGCAAGAGAAAATAAATCAATCATTTTCAATAAATAAATATGTCTACTGAGAAGGAATTTTTGAATGTCGTTAATATTTGAATTCGCAGAATGTGTTCGAAGTTGACTCAATCCGGAAAAAAATACACATGCTTCTCTTATTTAAGAAATTCGTGATGCGATTTCAGTTTGAGAATAAAATATCCTCAGTTGAGATTGTTAAAGCTGAAAATAGACTTAATGTCTCCATTGTTCCGGTCGTAAAATCTGTTAGTTTTATCTTTCTCTATCAAAATACAAATTTTACTTGTCTACCGAAAGGTGCAAACAAAACCATACTCTACATTCTTATAAGGAGGATCTTATTTAGTCTGCTCGTATTCATGTATTAGATATAAATCTTATCCTAGTTCCCAGAGATCTGTCTCCTAAGTAGCAACTTCCCATTGTACCCATGTACTGTGTGACTGGATAAGGCTGGATAATTTCTGGATATAATCGCATTCAAAGGCCTTGT